GGAGTGCGGGCCAAGCCAGAGGACTCGAGACATCGGCATCGCCCTTCCTCCAAAGTTCCTTTCCCTGGGGTCCCGTTCCCAGACCCCGACGTCATGATTTGTTCATAACGTCGACCCTCAAGGGTCACGACCCATTCCCCTGGACCGGTCGTTTCATCCCGAGTCGTTGTTTGACGGTCCCGAGAACCGGCAAGGGCCCCCAGAAGCCGAAAATACAAAAAACTCCTGTCATGATCTTTTCATTGCCCGAGGGGGTCTGGGTCTGGAACCAGATGGAATCTGCCTCCACCGCCCTCCTGTTTACCAACGCTACACCCTCTAAGTGTCACTCTGGATGTCTTGCGACGGGCCCAATCAAAACCTACCGATCTGCTGTTGTGTAGATCCTGCGGAGCCTCGGTGCAGCAGCCTGGTCAGTCGGTGGAGCTGGGCGGGCCGCGTCGAGGTCATGACTCTGCCGGGCTGCGGTCGCAGCGCTCACGCCTGGGAAGGGAACTCGCCGCTCGCCTGGGCACGGCGACGATCGCCGAGTGGACGCCTCGCTGCCCCTCCCTCGCTGCAGGCGCGGAGGCAGGAGGAATGCAAGCGGGAGCATCTGTCGGAAGCTGCTCGGGCCCAGGAAGCTCGTGCCACGGCCGTGCTCGAGCCTCGAGCTCCAGGACGGGGCCGTGGCCACTTTGCACGGTTTGTGATCCCCCTCGGACGTCTTGGTTTCCCCTGCTACCCTGAAGCCGAGGGGTGAGAAGTCTGACTTTCCTGAAGAGCCTGCCTGACTTCACGAGCTCACAATCTGCACTCGGGCAGAGGTGGTAGGAGCACAAGGGGCGGAGTCGAGCGGAGTGCTCTGCACGACGTGCCTACGCAGGAACGATGGCCGACTGCACCAACGCCATGCTACGAGCCCCCGTGATCTTGACAAGGAGACCCCGAACATCGCGGGCATGGGACGACCTCCTCCTGCTCCTCCTCCTCCTCCTCCTCCTCCTTCTCCTCCCTTCCACTCATTTCCCTTCCTCATGTCTGGTCTGAGTCTGACTGTTTGCCGTGCAATCCCCGCGCAGCTCCTCCCTGCCCCTCTTTGCTCCTCCACCACCTCCTCCTCCTCCTCCTCCTCACCCTCCTCTTCCTCCTCCATTTCCTCCTCCTCCTCCTCCTCCTCCTCCGTCTCCTCCTCCTCCTCCGTCTCCTCCTCCTCCTCTGTTCTGCCTCCTCCTCTCCCCCACTTCGACCAGCAACTTGGCCGAAATAAACAGCAAGACGAGCAGGCCCGTGGAATTCACCGTCCTGCTTCAAAATGAGGTCCGCGCCGAACGTCCACGCGCGCGCGCCCGCGGCCGCGGCCGCTGCGGGCCGGCGCCTTCTCGCCGGCGTCCTTCTCCAGAAGGTGCGCCTCTATCTCGGCGGCCTCCTCGCGCAGCGGGGCCGAGGGGCCAATGCCCACGAGGGATGGGCCGATTTTCCATTACCACCACCACTGGCAGCAGAGGGAGGAGGAGGAGGAGGAGGAGGAGGAGGAGGAGGAGAGGAGCAGGAGGAGGAGGAGGAGGAGGAGGAGGAGGACAGGAGGAGGAGAGCAGGAGGAGGAGGTCCCCCGTCCTGCCTGTGGCAGTGGTGGTTGAAGACCAGCCCCTCCACCAAGCTTCCCTGCCCGAGCGCTCGGGCTCTCGGCTGACCCGGCCGTCGAGAAGGCTCGGCCACGGGAGGGAGGAGGAGGAGGAGGAGGAGGAGGAGGCGGAGGAGGAGGAGGAGGAGGAGGTGAGAGGAGAGGGAGAGGGGGGGGAGGAGGAGAGGAGGAGGGGAGGAGGTGGAGGAGGAGGAGGAGGAGGAGGAGGAGGAGAGGAGGAGAGGGAGGAGGAGGGGAGGAGGAGGAGGAGGGAGGGAGGAGGAGGAGGAGGAGGAGGGGAGGAGGAGGAGAAGGAGGGAGAGGGAGGAGGAGGAGGAGGAGGAGGAGGAGGAGGAGGAGGAGGAGGAGGAATCGGAATCGGAACAGACTTTTTTTTTACAGCCGCAGGCGGAAGCGCCAGCGGCGGGCAGTCGCGGGCGGGCTGCGGCCGCGACTAGCGGCGGGCGCGCGCGGGGCCGCGGTCAGGCGGCAGGCAGCAGCGTCCTAAGGCGTCTGAGCCTACGTGCAGTCCAGGGAACCTGCGGGCCCCAGAACGGGCGTGCAAAGGGCATCCAGGGAGCCAGATGAGCACCGTGAAGCCGACATGCAATCCGGGGAGCTTGCTGAACAACCCCTGAGAACGTGCAAAGGTACATCCAGGGAGCCCAAGACAGGCCCGAGGAGACCAACGCAGCCAAGATGGCGCGAGCGTTCCCACCAAATCAAGCGGAAAGTAGGAACGATTACGAGGACGTCGACCAAATGTCAAGAGTACCCAATCAATGAGATCAAGTCCAGCGGAAAACCTGACGACGAGAAGGGACGCGGCGTCAGAGAACGCATCCAGGGTGGTACATGTGAACGGTGATCTTATAATGCCGAGCTCGCTACCTCCAGAACTGCCTCGCCCACTGCCTCCTTGGAAGGCCATATAGATCATGTTCCTCAGCACGGTTGCACCACCTGTAACACAATTGAGTGGCACTGATGGAACTCCCCACGACAACAACCCGAATAACACCAGCCTGTAAAAAGACCTCTCCGTGACACTCTGCACGGTGAACGGGGAAAAATGACCATTCGGCACAAGCACAAACAACCACGCTAGTCCACTCCAGCATGATAGTTGACAATGCCCGATGGGACCGCGTGGTGTAAGAAAGCCGCTCCCATTCCGACAAGAAAGCGTATTGAGAGCGACTTCCCGTCAACATTGTGAACAAAGACAATTCCACAAAATGCCCAGGAGTCAACTTGCGACATCACCAGATAGCAGAAGCAATAGCACCGCGCCACCAGAAACATTGTCATACCCTCCCCTGGCGGGATTGGGAGATACACGCAATAAAGCTGATGACGACAGGTGATACAGCAAAAGCAACTGCAGCGCACCTCCAGAAACTGCCATACCCTCCCCAAGCGGCACTGGGAGATAAACGCTTTGAAGCTGAAGATGCCTGTTGCGGATGTCGCACTGCTCCGAAAAACACTGTTGGAAGTCGTGCTGCTGGTAACTACCACGCTCACGCTGCTGCTCGGTGCACTCGAAAAGCCCGAAGATGACAGACAGCATGCTGCAACACCGCAGAAAGACTCCCTGCATGAATGCCCGAATTCGCTCTGCTTAGCCACCAGGATCGGCTGCGCGCGGCGCGGCGTGGCAGACCCGGTGCCCCTCAGGCGCCGACGTGGAGGCGCAGAACTAGGAGGAATATGACTCGTTGAGCCCAAACGGGTACGGAGCCTTGGCCCACCTGTGCTTGAGCGGAGGAGGAGGAGGACGAGGAGGAGGAGGAGGCGGAGGAGGAGGAGGAGGAGGAGAGGGAGGAGGAGGAGGAGGAGGAGGAGGAGGAGGAGGAGGAGGAGGAGGTCTCGCGCCGACTTCGGTCAGGTCTCCGTGTCCCAGAGTCTGCGCCCGGAGGCCTCGCGCTCCCCGCTCTCGCCCGGCGCGGTCGGCGTCTGGAGATGTGTCCCGCGCGCAGGTGCTCCAAGAGGCCCCCGAGAGGTCCCCCACGAGACCCCAACGCACATCCAAGAGGCTGTCTATCCACAGCCCAAGCACGGTGGCGGGATGGGCCGAAGGTCCCTCGATCCGCCGCCCCCTGTCGATTCATCGCACGGGTGCCTGGCGTGCCGAAGCCAATCGGTTTACTCCCCCTGGGGCGTCGGCCCGTCCCGCTGGCCACCCGGAAGATCACTACCCCGTCGATTTTTCGCTCCAGATGGCTGCAAGATGGCCTCCAAGACGACCAAGATGGCCCTCAAGATGCCTGCAAGATGGCCAAGATGACGGCTCAGGCGGTCCCAAGATGCCTCCAAGACGGCCCAAGATCCCCTGAAGATGGCCTCAGACGGCCCAAAAGGCCCGCAAGATGCCTCCAAGACGGCCCAAGAGGCCTCCAAGAGGGCCGCCAGGAAGGCCAGAAAAAAGCCAACAACATAGGTTGTCCTTTGGTTTTTGAAGGATTTTGACATTTGCTTCGTTTCCGCCTTCCGACGGCCCGATGCGGCCCAAAAGCCCTCAAAGATCGCCCAACGATCACCCAAGAGGCCTCCAAGATGGCCCCAGAACGGCCAAAGAGGCTCCCAAGACGGCCCCAAGAGGCCCCCCAAGACGGCCCAGGAGGCTTTTAAGACGCCCAAGATGGCCTCCAAGACGGCCCTGGAGCATTCCAAGAGGGCCCCGAGTCGGCCCAGAGAGGCCCCCCAAAGGGCTTCCGACGGCATCGGACGGGCCATGAGCCCACCAAGACGGCCGAAGATGGCTCCAAGATGGCCCAAGACGGCCCAAGAGGCCTCCAAGAGGGCCTCCAGGAAGGCCCGAAAAGGCCAAAAGCATTGCTTTCCCATGAGTTGTTGAAGGATTGTGGCATTTGCCCTTTGTTCGGCCTTCCGACGGCCCGAGACGGCCCAAGTGCCCCCAAAGATCGCCCAAGAGGCCCAAGACGGCCCCAAGAGGCCTCCAAGACGGCCCAAGAGGCCTCAAAGACGCTCAAGATGGCCTCCAAGACGGCCCAAGAGCCCCCCAAGACGTCCTCCGAGAAGTCCCGAAAGGGTCAAAATGGCCTCCAGACGGCCAAGATGACCTTCAAGATGCCCACGTGTTCCCCGAAGGTTTTCCAACCCGATCCGGGGAACACTCCGATAGCTTGGCAGGTCTGGTTTCAACGTTCGGCCACATAGGCGCTTCCAGAAAGGCAGGGGGCGGCGGTGATTCGCCGTAGGCGTCTTCGATAGAACACGACAGAAAACGTTCGAAGGTGAACCACGTACCATCAGGGACTATGAAGGGGGCACATACATAATACGATGCCATACTATAATCTACAACCTGACATGGGAACGAGGGGAGGCAACAAGAGACGGGAGGCAACGGGAAGTCAGCAGTAGCATAGCCTGTAGCTTGCCTGCGCTTGTATAGCTTTACGTGGGTGCGATGCGAGGCAACAGGCAACGGAAGGCAACAAGGGGCAACGGGAGACGACGACGGGACGCATCGGCGGGCGACCAATTCCAGATCCCGCACTCCACGTGCGTACTCGCTTCTGAAGCCGTATACGCGACCCATGCAGGCAAGCTGCCTACGGAATGTTTGAACAAGGGGAGCGCCGTCACGTGTTACACCTCTCGACTTCACTTCTGGCAGCTCAGTTGGGCTGTTCTCTTGGGGTTGGCCTGCGGCGCCCCTTTGGAGCAGCCTCGGGGGACGCCTCGAGACCTCTCTGCCGTCTGAAGGGCATCGCCAGGCTGTCGCCAGGCCGCCTTGGGCAGACGACGGACCCTCTATCTGATGGGCCGTGTTGGGCCGACGGATGCAGGAGAAGGCGGAATCGCCACAACCTTCCCAAACTTCAAAGCAACACTAAGTGCGGGCCGCCACTTCGGGTCCTCCTGCGAAGCTGCGGCTACAGGGAGGCTAGTCCACAAGAAACCTCCCACAAGCAGCCCAACCCTGATACCCCAGGACGCCCATTGATCTTTGGCGCGTGAAGGTCACACGCTTTCCTTAGCATAACCATCGAAACCCAAGACACCAAGGGCACCCCGGAGGCAAGCAACGTGTTTCTTGGCATGGATCCCCACTGTACCAACCAAACTTCTGGACCATCTTACTGATTGGGGTTCTTCTCTGGTGAATGCCGTTTGATCTTCCTCCACGACAACTCGCCATCGCTCGGGCGTCCATTCCGTATTTTTTTGTTCGGTTTCGTGCGTGGTTTTCTCGCCAAATGATCAAGGATGCTCCTCGATGGTCCTCGCCGAAGGAAAAATGCACGCGTCCGAGCGATGACAAGACAAATGTACCTAACAGGTGACCCTGCGGTGGCAGCGACGTCTGCGTCCCCCATGGGTCCTCCCCAGCCTCGTTCTCGAGCCGCTTGCTGCTCCGCAGCTCTTCGCGCTGCGCGGCCCGCAGCTTGGCCCTCCCCGGATCCCCGGCGGGGGACGCGCGCGGGCGGGGTGGGGAGGGGCGAGGCGGGGGGGGGCGGGAGCAGAGGGGAGGGGAAAGGGAAAAGGAGTGAAGCGGCGAGGGCGAGGGGAGGCGAGGGGAGGGGAGCAGAGGGCGACGGCGAAGAAGAGGGCGAGGGCGAGGAGAGGACGACGGCGAGGGGAGGAGGTGGGGTGCAGTGGCCAGGGCGAGGGCGAAGGGAAGAGAGGGGAGGAGAATGGAGGGGAAGAGAGATCCGGCCAAGCCAGGCGCGCTCGCGCCGTGTCTGACATCCTGCCCCTTCCACCCACCCTTCCCCGTGTTGCGGATTTCCTTGTGCTTCCCCACATCCCAAGTGCGGGCCCTCTCTCCTACTCGCCTCGTTTCGCACCCAACGTCACCATCATTCCGCCATCCCCATCACTCTCACCATCCCATGAATATCATGGACCACCCTCATCACTAGTCAACACCATCACCATCACCATCGACATCATTCGAATCAGTTTCATCATCATCAGCATCACCACATCATCATCCTCGTCCTCAGCATCATCATCGTCAACATATTCATCTTCATATTCATCGTCATCATCCTCATCCTCAACATCATCATCGTCAACATATTCATCAGCCCTCGCCGCCGCCGCTGGGCTCGCCTCGAGGTCCCGGTCACAACACGCGCCCCGGGAGAGCGGTCCGGGGGGCCGCGTCGCCGGCACTCTTTTTGTTTGGCTTCCCCCGAGGAGGGGCCCCGTGGGAGCGGGGAGCCGTGCTGCGAAAGCCACTCGCGCATCGAGGATCTCTCCAAGGATGAAGTCGGGCGTGTCCCCTTCTGCAGGGGGAGTTTTGACGAAACAAAAAAAATACCCAAAGGATATTCCAGAATGGACAAAAATACTCAAACATATGTTTGAATCTTTTCCCAGTAGTGGGACAGGCCCGACTTATCCCAGGATGGAGCGTCTGAAGGCCCACTGGAACGAACCACCGCGGCTCCCCCGCCCAGCCCGGGTCCGCCCAAGGATCGGTCCGGCCAGGCTCGGTGGGGCGGACCGTGGACGCGTCCCGAAGAGGCACCCGGTGGTGTCGGGGAGCCGAGATGCGAGAACCGGGGGCGGCCAAGAGAGGGGCGTCCAAGGGGGGGGGGGAGGGGCGCAAATCATGGCTGGCGGCATGTGCGCGGCCGAAAGGGGAGGTCCAGGAACATAACGAAATAAGAATCGGGGACGCACAAACATGGATTAGCGATCCATAGATTTGGCGCGCGGTCGCCAAATCCATGGATCGGGGGAAGTGCCCTCCCCCAAATGAAGCGGAAATCCGCGATTTTCTATAGAAACGGGACCCGTCGCTAATCCACGCCCCCTTGATCCATGTTTGTGATCGCCTGAAAGAAGATGCGCCGTGAAATCTGGGGGAATAGCATGGCCCACGCCAGGATATCCACCTCCCCCCTAGTCATCACCCCCCTCTTTGCTGCCCCCGAGAGAACCAATCGCGCATCGAAGACCTCTCCCGGGGGGGGGGGGTCTGAAGGTCCACTGGAGCCACGGCGGCGGCTCCCCCGCCCGTGCCGACTCCGCTCGAGGATCGGTCTCCTGACCCGCACACAGCCCCTCCGGGGATCTCATGGGAGTCCGTCCTGTGCGCCGCTCTCTTGAGGAGGAGGAGGAGGAGGGGGAGGAGGAGGAGGAAGGGGGAGGTAGGAGGAGGAGGGGAGGAGGAGGAGGGGGAGGAGGGAGGAGGAGAAGGAGGGGGAGGAGGAGGAGGAGGAGGAGGAGGAGGAGGAGGAGGAGGCCTCCGCCCTGGACTCCTCCCAGGATCTCCTGGGAGTCCGGCCCGTCGGCCGCCCTCTTCGAGGCGGAGAGCTGGCCGTGCGGCTGCGAGCAGGCGCCCCCCCCTGGAAGGCCCTGAGACGAGAGAGGACGAGCAGACGCGCCAGAGGGAAGGCCGCCAGAGGTTTGCGCTGGCAGAAGGTTAGGAGGCAACTACTGGGAGGTTTTCGTCGGAAGGATGAAGGAGGATTAAGCCCCATGTGGGAGCTGCTACGACGGAGTGGGCCTCGGATGAAGCGGGATTAAGCCGGATTAAGCGGGATGAAGTGGGATTAAGCGGGATGAACCGGGATTAACCGGATTCCGGACCAGGGCAAAATCAGAATTTGGCCTCCCAGGAGTTGCATCCGAAAGAAGGGGCCCCGGAGAATCGAGGACAAGTCGGATCGGCGATCGGAACAGAGGGCCAAACATCCGCCTCCATAGCAACCGCCCCGACAAGCATGGCCGTTTCGCAAACGCACCCAAAGAAGGGAATCGGACAGAGTAGGGCCATTCAATACACGCCCAGGGCCGTTTAGCAAACGCCAAGTATCGAGTCCGGGTGGTTCTTCTGCCCTTGACGGAATGAACCCGATTGGCGGAACTTGGCAGCCGAGTCGGTAGAAGTCGAATCGGCGGAGATCGGCAGGCCAGTATAGGCCTCCATGCCAGGAGTCGGAGACCCCAGTCGGAAGTCGCGGTCGGAATCCGAAGTCGGGTGGAATCGCAGTCGGAGGCCATCGGAGTCGAATCGGACCGAGAACGGAGGAATCGAAACGAGCACTGCGTTGGCCCTCCCCCAGAAGGATCGAGGCCGCAGGGCCCGTGGGGCGCCCGTGAAAGAGGCGGGTCCTGAGGGAACTGGGCACTGGACCCGGTGGGGCCTTCCCAAGGGCTCCCAACTTCGCGCTTCACGCTGCGCGGAGCGCGAGGTGCGAATAACTTCGCGCTCTCGCGCCGCCTCCCAGGGGAGAAGAGGAGGATGAGGAGGAATCGGAGCCGAACCGCGAAGCGAGAAGCGCGAATAATGTCGCGCCCTCGAGGGCGCCCTTGCCTTCCGCTGGGACCACCTCTTCGGCCCGAGTCGGCTTTCGACGACGCGGGGGCCCCGGGGAGGGCCCCGGGGAGGGCCCCAGCAGGAGGCCGAAAAGGGGCGAAGACCCTCGCGGGACCCGTCTCGTCCCGAACCCCGTCTTGGGACGTCCAACGTCTCGTTTTTCCCAACCATCCTATGGTGTTGGGTCCTCGTTTTGAAGAGACGGTCCACGCGTTCCTCTTCTCCTCTTCTCCTCCTCCTCCTCCTCCTCCTCCTCCTCCTCCTCCTCCTCCTCTTTTTTTTGTTGGAAAGCAAAAAAATTGTTCACGATGGGGCCCCTGGAAACCCAGACCCTTTCCCCAGGGCCGGCTCTGCGTCTTGAGTAGGCGTTCCACGGTCTTGGGACCTGACGAGGGCTCCCCAAGAGCGCCGACGTCAGCGGCACACGCTCCGCCCCGACTCCTTCAGAACGCTGGACGCCTGGGCTGCTTCGTGCTTCGTGGCCATCGGGCTGGCGATCGCGAGCGGCGAACAACTCCGTATCGCATCCGCGCCCTCCCGCGTCCTCCTGGCCTGGACTTCCGGAGCGCGATCCCGCGGAAGCGCAGTCGCACACGGATACGTTCCGCGCGGGGCATCTGCGACCAAACACGCCCCGCATTCGCGGGGCCGCGGCCCATGGGTCCCACCCACCCGCGGGGCCGCGGCAACGGACGTGTTTGTCTAGAGGCCTCCCAGGGGCCGGAGCAGATGGGGTCGCAGGGCCGCACCGCATCGCCGATGCATCGGAGACGCATCAGCGACGTCGGCGACGCATCGGCGACGCCAGCGTGGAGAAGATCGGGCTCCACATCGAGCCGCACCGCCGATGTGTCGGCGATGCGGCGCTGTCCTCCGACCTCGTGGAGCAGCGGTGCGGCGCTGTCCTCCGAACTCCGCCCCCCACCTCCTCCTCCTCCTCCTCCTCCTCCTCCTCCTCCTCCTCCTCCTCCTCCTCCTCCTCCTCCTCCTCCTCCTCCTCCTCCTCCTCCTCCCCCTCCCCCTCCCCCTCCTCCTCCTGGGAGGCCCAGATGTTCGCCCACGGGCTGTGGCTGGTCTCCCCCCCCCACGGCGGGGCGCTGCCAGTTCGCGGCGCTGTCCGGGTGCGCCACCGCCGAGCGGAAGCCCGCGACCAGGCCTCGGCTCGTGTCTCCGCGCGGAGGGACTACGGTCGGGAACTCTGGCTTAGCGCTAGGTGTAAGTCGGGCCTGTCCCCCTACAGGGGGATTTTTTCGACGAAAACTAAGAAATAATCAAACAATACCCCCGAATGGCCAAAAAAATACTGAAAGAAGAGTCCCCAGGCTATGTTTTACTATTTTTGAAATATTCCCCCTGTGGAGGGACGGGCCCGACTGAACGCTAGGTCGGGCATGTCCTCCTACCGCCGGACCTTGGAAGAACACGGATAAGACAAAAACATCTGACACACTCAGACATAGAATTAAAAAGTCAGGTAGGGAAGCGAACTCTACACACCGACGCGTTTCCCGACCCTGCGCCGAAATTCGCACAAGAACGCGGATTCTGGTGCGTACGGGATCCTGGTGTATACATTGTTCGTTGCTTCCCTTGGGAAACGGGGGAAAGGTATACGCCACACCACCCCGACGCCGCCCCCGACCCTCAAAAAGTCGCGGGATTGAAAAAACAACTCGCCACTGGTAATGTATATGTTCCTATTTCCGATCATGAGAGCGTCGTCCGTGTACTGTTTTGTTCTTTATAAAAAAGTCAGACACGCTCAAACATAGAATTAAACAATCATGGGAATGTCGTGTGGGGGACATGTCGTGTGGGAATGTTCCTGTTCTTGAATCTTCCTCCTGTGGGGGACATGCCCGACTGAAGCTTAGCATTAGGTCGGGCCTGTCCCCCTACAGGAGGATTTTGGACGAGAAATTAAACATACCCCAAACATACTCCAAATATGCTCAAACATAGTTAAAAAATGGTCCGCATATTATTTTTGACTATTTTCGAATCTTCCCCCTGTGGGGGGACATGCCAACGACTGAAGCTCCTAGCAGGTCGTGGCGGCGGCCCCGCCGACGCCCTGTAACCCCTGCGCAAGCGGACAGCGCGCCGCTCTGCCCCCGCAGGGCGGGGGGCTGGGATGAAGCTCTGCGCGCTGGCGCGTGGGATTTTGATCAGAGGAAAAAGAACTATGCACATACACCGATTCTGGCCAGGCCCATCCTGTGCTCAGGATCGGTGCATACGCCCTCCTACCTTGGCCGGGAAGGCATATGCACCGATCCTGGGTCAAGGATGGGCCTGGCCAGGATCGGTGCGTGTGCATAGTTCTCTTCGCCCGAACCTGCTTCAGCCTTGACCACCACAAAGGATGGGTCAAGGATGGGCCTGATCCTGGGTCAAGGATGGGCCTGGCCAGGATCGGTGCATGTGCATAGCTCCCTTCGCCCGAACCTGCTTCAGCCTTGACCACCAGAAAAGAACTTTGACTACCTACCAGACCACCCCAACCCAACCCGAAGACCCGAATTTCGGGGTGGGGGGGGGGAGGGTTTCATCTGCGTTTTTTCAATGCTCCCCGAACCCCCCCCCACTGGAAGTGGAGGGCAAATTGAGGCCTTCGGGTTGGGTTGGGGTGGTTTGGTAGGTGGTGGAGGAGGGGGAGGAGGAGGAGGAGGAGGAGGAGGAGGAGGGGGAGGAGGAGGGGGAGGAGGAGGAGGAGGAGGAGGAGGAGGAGGAGGAGGAGGAGGAGGAGGAGGAGGGGGAGGAGAAGTAGGAGGAGGAGGAGGAGGAGGAGCACCCCAAAAAATAGCGGAACTCGAGGGTGTTCGCGCGTCGGGCCCGGAGGGGCCCTCGCCCGACACTGCTTCGACACCCCTTTTCGACACGCCTCCGCGTGCTCGAAAGGATGTCTGGGATGCCGGTCCTCAAGCGCGATGGGAGCAGCAGAAGCGTGGGGAGGGAGACGCGGACCCAGACCCCCTCGGGCAATGAAGACACATGGCAGGAAGCTGTTCCGTGTTTTCGGCCTCGGGAGGCCCTTCCCGGGCCTCGGGACCCTCAAAAACGACTCAGGACGAGAAACTGGTCCCGGGGAATGGGTCGAGATCCCTGAGGGTCGACGTAAGGTTGAGTCGGGCGGGTCCCCCTACAGGGGGAGTTTCGACGAACAATAAAGCATATTCAAAACATGCTTTAAAAGGGTTTGAAAAAATAGTCCACCGACTGTGCTTGACTATTTTTGAGTATTCCTCCTGCAGAGGGACAGGCCCGACGTGGTGGGCCAGGGCCAGCGGAGCGACGCGCCAAGCCAGAGCTCCCGGCCGCAGGCGCGGGGGAGGGAGGCGGGAGGGCAAGCGAGAGGAGCTGGCGGGCCCCCAGACGTCCTCGCATCGTGAAACCCATTTGGACGCCCGAAACGGGTACGGAGAAGATGGGTACAATGCCGACCAACAAAGTTTGTCCCAGACCAACAGCGGCCGCTGTTGGGCAGGCGGCCTTCTGTCTCGAATGGACACAGGCCGCGGCGGCGTGGACAGCGAATCCGGTTCAAACTGAACAGGAACTGCTGTTGGGCATTGCACCCATTTTTTCCGTACCCGTTTCGGGCGTCCAGAACCAACGCGGCGGGAGGTTCTTGGCCGGCTTGGGCGTCGGGGAACCGCCATCGGGCCCCATGGCAAGCAACAAAACTACGTACTCCTACAGAAACGCAGGTCCCAGGGAAGGGGTCTGGACCTCTAGGGGTCCACTCTATACAAATAGTTATACAATCCGACCAACAAATTGACGTCGTTCTGAGTTGGCGGGCCCGACTGTACAAGGACGTAGTGGCTGGGTATAGAAGAGGATGTATAAGGCGAATGTGGAACGGATGCGAGAGAGCAGGGAGGGGACCTGTCAGGGGACGCAGCAGGAACCGTGTCTGAGAACGCGCCCGAGGGCCTCTGAGGGCATCTCGAAGCAGTCTTGGAGCCCTTGTGTGTCACCCGTCGGCCATCACGTGCCGACGGGTGACACACAAGTGCCGAACAAAAGAAACCTGGTTCGGTCCTTGCCGAACTCTCTGGGTTCGGGGCAGGCCGCCCTCTTCCTCCCCGCTGCCCGAGGCCTTCGGCCTTCGGCCTCGGCCCGGGAGGACAATCTAAGCCAAGCAAGCCCGTGCACGAGGTCGTGCTCCCAACAAAACCGTGCTGGGAGTGGGTCCACACGATAAGAGCCCTTGTGGTGGCCCCCTGGGACCTATATTGGAGATGTATATTAGGTATTAGGCCCACCTTGGAGCTGTGACGGGCCCATCTCGGGCCGTCTTGGAACCCTCTCGGGGCGCCTCGCCGAGGGAGGAGGAGGAGAGGGAGGAGGAGGAGCAGGGGGAGGGAGGAGGAGGGAGGAGGAGGAGGAGGAGGCGGAGGACGAGCATGAGGAGGAGGAGGGAGGAGGAGGAGGGAGGAGCATGAGGAGGAGGAGAAAGGAGGAGGAGGGAGGAGGAGGAGGAGGAGGAGAAGGAGGAGGGGGCCCTCCTGGGGTCCCTCTTGGAGCCCGCTGGGGCCCGATACCTGCAGGTATCGGGCCCCGTCTCGGAGCGGCCTCGGGCCGCCGTGGGCACTCGGGCAGCGAGGAGGGCGCGCACGGGGAAAGGGAGGGAAAGGAGGAGGGGGCGAGGCCGGCGGGCAGGTGAGACGCTGAGTTGGGACGAGTGTCCGTACACCCTGCGAAATGCTTAAGAAATCATGTGTTAAGAAATTCATAGTCTCAGAACTTGAATAAAAAACAACAGTTCTATTAAAATCTTAGGATTTACATTGAAACCTTAATAATAATCGAGACTCTGGCCGAAAACTTAGGTTCTCTTAAGCATCGCCTAAGGTGTATTCTGGGAGTGGGCCAGCCTGCGCCTACTACTCAGTCTTGCGCCGCGGCGCGTGGACGCCTGCAGTGCCTGCCTACGGAAAGTGCCCGATCAGACTTGCTGCGGACGCCAGCGCGAGTGCCCATCTGGGCGGCCTCTCTCTCTGCAACACCGTCGTCCATTCACTCCGGGGCCCCCCCCACTGCTCGTGCACATCGCTGCACTGCTGGTCTGCAAGAGGTGGGAAAAAGAGGGGCGAGGCCGGAGGGAGGAGCGAGGGCGGGGGGCCACGTCCCCAGGACACACAAACACAGACACGGACACGGACACGGACACGGACACGGACACGGACACGGACACGGACACGGACACGGACACGGACACGGACACGGACACGGACACACACACACACACATACATACACGCGCACTTTTTGCGTCGGCGGCGAGGCAGGGGGACTGCGCTGGCGAGTAAGGCAAAGCGGGGTGCGCTGGGCGAACTCACCCGCCATGCAACGGGAGGGAGGGGAACGACAAGGCGCCGGCCTAGGAGAGCGGCTAGGAGGTGCCCGGCCCGCTCAGAGCAGCCCAGGGTTGTGGCGGGGACGGCGCCGGGGAGCCAGCGGCGGCGGCCCGGGGGCTGGACACACACACACGCACATACACACACACACACACACGCACGCACGCACGCACACGCACACGCACACGCACACGCACACGCACACGCACACGCACACGCACACGCACACGCACACACACACACACACGCGGAACACCCGCACACAACACACAAACAAAGAAACCGAACACGTCGTCGGAGATGTGGGGCCCTCCGAAGGCCTCCGCACCGCCACCCGAATGTCAACACAACAACATAATCAACAGCAACAACAACAGCAGCATCAACAACAACAATCATTATAATATTGTTCGCTCTTACTTGCCCGTGTGTCATTCAAAACGAGTTCCCGACACACTCGATCCCCGCCCTTTTTGTCTTCGATCACACCCCCTTTGGGGGGATTAGTTCTCTTTGCGGGGGGCGGCGGGCTTCGACAGGCGGACAAACCTGAACGGGTGGACAATCCTTCGTGGGCGTACATGTGCCCGCCATTGGAATTGGTGTGGGCCCTGCCAAAAAAGGAGGGGGAGAACGAGGGAGAGTGGGAAGAAGGGAGAGGGTGAGACGAAGAGAGGGAAAACGCCAGGAGCGAAAGAGCGAAAAGGGGGGCGGTTGATTTGAGGCAAAGAGAGGAAAGAGAGAGAGAGCGAGAGCGAGAGCGAGAGAGATAGAAAGAGAGAGAGAGAGAGAAAAATAAATAAAGGAAGACATATAAAATAGGTAGAGAAGGACAGAGAGAGAGAGAGAGAGCGAAAGGGGGAGAGAGAGAGAGAGAGAGAGAGCAAGAACGAAAGAGGGAGGGAGGAGGCAGGAGAGGGGAGGGAGAAGGGAGGAGGGAGAGGAGGGAAAGGGGATAGGGCAGAGAGGTATAAGGATGAGGGAAGAGAGGAGGGAGAGAGAAGGGAGGAAAGGAGGGAGGAGGGAGAGGGAGGAGGAGCAGGAAGGTAAGAGCGTGAACGTTCGAGGAAATCCTAGGCAAAAGCGCCGTTCCTGGAGGAAGTCTCGGGCGGGAGCCCACGACAGGCGAGCGATCCCCTGACAGGCGGGTCGGGCGGGTGGGACATTCAAGCGGGAAGCCTGAGTATGGCGAGAGCGCGATTCCTAAGTAAATTGTGACGGCGTCTTTGGCGCAGCGTGTTTCCTGAGCGTCGAAAGCACGATTTTTGAATAAACTGCATCGAGGTCACAGGCGAGAGCGCAATCCCTGAATAAAATGTGAAGGTTTCTCTGGCGGGAGCGGGGGTCTTGATAATTTAATTGCAAGGAAATTGTGATTCAATTGCGAGGAAGTCTCAAGCGGGAATGCCGCTCCTGAGTAAATTGTGAGAGCGTCTCAGATGGGAGCGGGGGTCCTGACTAAATTGCAAGGGAATCGCAAGCGGGAACACCGATCCTGAGTAAATTGTGAGGAGGTCTCAGGCGGGAGCGGGGGTCCTGAGCAAATTTGGAGGAAGTCTCAGGTGGGAGCCGTTGTTGTTGTAATCCGGGGGGCCAGGGGCACAGTTTGAGTACCAAGACTTTCCCTGTCAAAAAAAACAGGGTGCGAGCGTCGAGGGCCACACTTCGATTGAGAAAAACAGTATGCACCGGTAACGGGGGACTAACAGTAATAATTCTTCAGAAGTGAAAGTTCAACAGCAACAACAGCAGCATCAACAACAACATCACCAATAACCAGAACACCGCCACCAACAACAACAACAACGACCACCACAACTACAACAATTGCAACAACAATAACAACAACAAAACAACAACACGAATCATTTTGAGACTGTTTGCTCTTATCTGCTCGAATGTCCTTCCACGTGTATTTCCCAAACTCTTCGGTCGTGCCCCTGTTGGGGGGTATATCTTTCTTCCTTGCAGGACGGGCCCCGGCAAGCGGCGGGGCGGCCGCGGACCGTCGGCATGGCCAGCGACAGCGCTGATCGGCGGCAGCCCCAAGAGGGACGGACAGGGGACCGACCACGACGACGACGACGAGCGAAAGCGAGAGCGAGAGCGACAGCGGGGCCACGAAGGGTAGGAAGGGGACCACAGAGGGCGACAGCGGGGCCACGAAGGGCATGCGTATGGGGCCACGAAGGGCGCAAACGAGCGGGGGCCACGAAGGGCACATAATGCGGGGCCACAGACGGCAACGACGGGGACATTGAGGGTAGCAACGGGGCCACGTATGGCAGAAAAAGGGGCCACAAAGGGCCACAGCCGGGCCAGGAAGGGCATTCATATGGGGCCACGGCGGGCACGAACGAGCGGGGGCCACGAAGGGCATACGAATATTGGGCGGCAGAGGGCAAGGACGGGGCCACTGAGGGCTGCAACGGGGCCACGAAGGGCAGCGAGGGGGCTACGAAGGGCGACGTCGGGGCCACGGCCACGAAACGCATGCATATGGGGCCACGACGGGCGCGAACGAGCGGGGGCCACGAAGGGCATACATATATGGGACCACGGAGGGCAGCGAGGTGGCCACGAAGGGCTGCAACGGGGCCACGAGAGACAGCGAGGGGGTCACGCATGGGTGCAACGGGGCCACGAAGGGCAGCTAGGGGGCCACGAAGGGCTGCAACAGGTCCACGAAGGGCAGCGAGGGGGCCACAAAGGGCTGCAACGGGGCCACGAAGGGCAGAGAGGGGGCCACGAATGGCTGCAACGGGGCCACGAAGGGCAGCGAGGGGGCCACGAAGACGGCAACAGGGCCACGAAGGGCAGCTAGGGGGCCACGAAGGGCTGCAACGGGGCCACGCAGGGCAGCGAGGGAGCCACGAAGGGCTGCAACGAGGCCACGAAGGGCAGCGAGGGGGCCACGAAGGGCTGCAACGGGGCCACGAAGGGCAGCGAGATGCCGATTCCTGAAGGCGCGACTCCTGGGCGCCTGAGTGTCGGGAGCGCGGCGCTTGAGTAATTTTGGGAATTCTAACGCAACTGCGCGATCCTTGAAAAACTTGAATGCAAGTATCCAGCGAGAGCGTGACTCCAGAGCGCCGAGTGAGCGACTCCTGTATCAAGAGTCAGGAAGTCCTAAGCGAGAGCGCGACTACTGGTTAAAATGCGAGGAAGTTTCAGGCCAGAGCGGGGGTCCTGGCTAGATTGTGAGGACGTCTCAAGCGGGAGCCGTTTTTGTTGTTGTTGTCGTAGTCCGGGGGCCAACAGCGCAGTATAAGACACAAACATCAAGAACAAAACAAAGTGCGAGTCCCGGGGGGAGCTCCTCAATTGAAAAACATGATGGCTACCGGAGGGGAAATCAACAATAATGATTATTCAGTAATGAGAGTTCGACAACAACAACACCAACAACACCAACAACAACACAACAAGCCACAACAACAACACTACCAACAACACCAACAACACCAGCAACAACAAGAGCAACAACTACACCGACAGCGACGACCACAACAACAACAAACAACAACAAAACATCTACTACAACAACAACAACAACAGCAACAATAGGTTTAAGACCGTTAGCCCTTATATGCTCGAGTGTCCAATAACGCGTATTTCCCAAACCCTCGATACCAGTCCTCTTCGTCTTCGATCGAACCCCTCTTGGGGGGTATACCTTTCTTTCCTGCAGGCCGGGCCCCGGCAACCGGCGGGGCGGCCGCGGACCGTCGGCCTGGCCAGCGGCAGCGCTGATCGGCGGGGCGGCCGCGGACCGTCGACCCGACCCCAAGAGGGACGGACAAGGGACCGACCACGACGACGACGACGTCGAAGACGACGGCGACGACGACGACGACGGCGACGACGAGCGAAAGCGAGAGCGAGAGAGAACGACAGCAGGGCCACGAAGGGCACGAGGTAGGCCACGAAGGGCGACAGCGGGGACACGAAGGGAATCCGTATGGGGCCACGAAGAGCGCGAACGAGCGGGGGCCACGAAGTGCAGATAATGCGGGGCCACAGAAGGCAACTATGGGGCCACTGAAGATAGCAACTGGGCCACGCAGGACAGTGAGGGGGACACAAATGGCAGCAGCGGGGCCACGAAGGGCATGCACATGGGGCCACAACGGGCGCGACTCCTGGGTGCCTGGGTGTCGGGAGCGCGGCGCTTGGGTAAATCGCAGGAAATTCCAACGCAAGGCCATTCTTCAGCAAGTTGCAAGCAAGTGTCCAGCGAGAGCGCGACTCCAGAGCGCCGGGAGAGCGATTCCTTCATAAATTGTAAGGAGGTCCCAAGCGAGAGCGCGACTCCTGAATAATATGCGAGGAAGTCTCGGGCGGGAGTTGTAAGGAAGTCTCAGGCGGGAGCCGTTGTTGTTGTAACCCGGGGGCCAGGGGCCCTGTTTGAGCAGGACGACTTTCCCTGTCAAAAAACAGGGTGCGAGCGTCGAGAGGCACACTTTGATCGAGAAAAAACAGTATGCACCGGTGGGGGGATCAACAGTAATTATCTTTCAGAAATGAGAATTCAACAACAGCAGCAACAACAACAGCACCAACAACAACAGCAACAACAAGAGACGGGCAGCATCACAGAGTACGAGCGCGAGGGGGGGGGGGGCCGAGGCGGGTGCCGTCCAGCACGGCAGGCGTGATCGGGGCCTGCGGCCCCCGGCGGTTCGGAGGACGGACGGCGGGGAGGGAACGCGGAGCAGAGAGCAGAACATCCACCCTCACAGTGATCACTCCGAGACGCGAAGGCGTTTAGCAAACGCGCCCAAAAGAGGAGTCGAGCACGGCAAGGCTGTGATTCGTAACCGCCTGGGACCGTCTCATAGACGCCAATTATCGGATCCGGGTGGTTCTTCCTCCCGGGTGACGGACGGGAGGGGCGAAGGAGGAGCCTGGAGGCGGAGGGCTCCTCCTCGTTTTGCCTTCCGCCCTCCTGTGGTCGGGGCTTCCACACTCGCTGCCCTGAGGCTGCGAACGGACGGACGAGCGGGGCAGAGGAGGACAACAACTCGGGGGTACGATTGGACTGTGCCCCTAGGTTGGGCCGTAGGTCAGACAAGGTGAAGGCAGGGGTGGCGATGAGGAGAAGGCGGCACAGGAGAGAGACGGGGGGAGGGAGGAGGTGGAGGAGGAGGAGGAGGAGGAGGAGGAGGAGGAGGAGGAGGAGGAGAAGGAGGAGGAGGAGGAGGAGGAGGAGGAGGAGGAGGAGGAGGAGAGGGAGGAGGAGAAAGATGCGCAGATCAGGAGGAGGATGCGGTCTGCTGCGCGTGTCACGTGTCATTCTGCGGACCTCTGAGCAGCAAGGAGGGGGTGATCAGGGATGGTGAGGAGGGAGTGGGACGGAGAGGGGAGAGAGACAGGGAGTGAGGCAGAATGGGACAGCGGGGAAGGAGAGCGGGGGGGGAGGCGGAGGAGGGCGACGACGAGGCGGGCGAGCGCGGCGCTGGTGGTTGGGCTTCTGGATGGGAGTCGCGGGTGGCTCATGCTGCGAGTCGCGGGCCCGCAATGCTGCCGGGGGAGGACGAAGGGCCAGGACCACCTTGCTGGACACTGCGGACCACAGCATGGAGCGGGAACTCAACGAAGGAGGAGGATTGGCGGTGCGCACAAGGGGGTGGAGGGAGGGGGGAAGGCTTCTTAGAAGGAGGCTGCTTCTTCGATGGCGCCAGCCTTACATCTATAGATAATGCCCGCGTCTTCTAAGAAGCAAG